TATATCCTTACTACCATACTCTGATTTTATGCAGTTTTCGGGCCATGCAAAGAAACGAGATGCTGTTTATTAATGATGATTCGATTGGCATAACCGACCATGGTGTGGGTTCAATCCCACTCGTACGTACACGATCGGGTACGGTAGTTATTTACAAAAGAAACTTATGTTTAAGTTTGCTTAGTTTGGGACTAGATAACGTTGTGTAAAAATATGTCCTGATTTATTTATTATTATTTATGTATAGTAAGGCCATTGTGGTCTAAAAACAAGAGATTACATAACTCGCGCTCTGCTCTATGGGCCAGCTCGACTGGAGAAGTCTTTGCGTTTCGTCTGATGAGTGAGAAGACTGCAACATCGCTGGTATTGCGACGGCCTTCACTCGCCATTAAGTGCATCTTCCTTAAAGATAAACATATTAAAGATGCTTGAAAACTACAAAAAACAAGGCCACATAAAATCCGCTTTATGAGGTCTTGTCAACGGAAATTGGATCATAATGATCGCGTTAAATGCATGCAGTGCATCAGAAGAGGTAGCTGTGTTTGCAGGCGTTCCTTACACGAGTCCTGAATCAAAAGAGTTCGCCAATAGTAAAATTTTGCGGTGCGAGAGCAATAAATAGACAGTAGCATTGTTATTATTTTATATTATGTCTAGCGACCCGCCCCGGCTTCGCGCGGGTGAAACGTATTATTAATATAAACCTTCCTCTTGAATCACTCTATTTATTAAAAAAAAAACCGCATCAAAATCAGTTGCGTAGTTTTAAAGATCTAAGCATACATAGTGAAGTTTGTTTCCTATACGTCCACTTGAAAGGCTATCGCAGTTGAACAAGCAAAACTGTTCGTCTACCTGCTACCACTTGGTTGCCCTGTACTCTCACATACGGCCTTGATCAGACGGCCATAATTAGGGTCCCTACCTGAGGTAAAAAAGGAACCCTTATAAGATCACTCTCTTGTCGCGTCTATCTGTCCGTGGGTCACCACCGATTTTTTCGGGAATGGGTGAACCTAGCTTGTCGAAATTGATACCAGAAACTTGGGTCTTATAGTCCCTATTAGGTGTATACAAATCATGGTCCTGAGTCAGCATGATATAAAGAAATGAGCAAATTTAGATTTTCGCGATAACTTACTTGTAAGTACCAATATTTACCTTAATTTACAACTTTTTTTATTTTTATGAATTTTCCCTTTACCTTGCTTTTAACAAAAATTGAAAATTCTAGGGCAACCGGAAGTACTCTATAGGTTTTGGGTAGTTCCCGTTGACCAAGGTAGGTAAGGTACCAACGGTTCATCTTCATATATTCTTTAAAACTCGGTGGTAGGGCCACGCAACAATATTCGATGTTGCACGAAAGAGCAGGTCCGTCCGGGGTTAGTACCACGACCTCACAGAAGACCGGCGTTTCTGCGTTTCGTCTGGTGAGTGAGGTACCCGGGGCCCACTTTATTTAGAGGTGGTAGCGCATCGCAACCCTACGGGTGTTGCAAAATCCAAACTTTCTAAAAATTTCTAACTTTAACATCTCTAAAGCTTTAAGTCCTTCTAAAGCGTTAAATGGTCTCTTAAACCCGCGTGAAACATGTGTACGTTTCACGTTATCCAACTTACCTCGCCCTTTGCCTGTACTTTCAAAGATCTAAGCATACATAGGGACAGACAGACAGTGGGACGTTTTTGTTTTATACTATGTAGTGATGACAAAAGTAAATTTCGATAAATACAGTGCTGTGGTAGTAGATACCGTAGCGTTTCGTCTGGTGAGTGCACACCTGCAACATGTGTGTTTGGAGTGTACATGGATACCGGCGCGCTATCAGATGAACCGCTTGTGTTGGAATAAAAGAAGCACATAACGACATTGCTTGCAGTTTTGCTATTCCAATGAATATTTTATTGGTTCAGGTGAAGGTACAAGGTAATGTTCACAATGATAAAAAGGCAGCTATTAAAAATGAAAACTCACCCATCCTCTTTCAGGTTTATTCCCGCTCTAAAATCGGGCTGTAGGTTTTTTATTTTGTTTCGCGCCATAAATTCTCTGTGGAAGAAAAAAAAAACAACTACAAAATTTAAGATGGGGGCATTACTCGATTTCGGTAGTTCTTTTTCGACTTTCATATTATTTTCCACGTGAATTCGATTTAAAATTTTCTAATAGTAAGTTGATGAATAAATAATATAAATATAGAGCCAAAAATGAGTTAAAAACATCTAGAATGTTGTGATATAAGTTGTACCTACTTAATATTTTTGTTTTAGATTACTTCTGTAGGCTTTCTACGTATAGGGGACGTCGAATGGACTACATCTTATAAAGCTTATCCTATAGTTTAATTATGTAACATTGCAATGAGCATGATTTAATCCTACCTTTTGTCGTCGTTTTTACGGGGATTGGGTTGTATGCTGCGATCGTTCTTTATTATATCTCGAATTGAAACGATCGGATGGCGTCCAATATGGCCGCGCCTTCTGCGAGCGCACAAAGCCTGTCTTCGGGGTCGTTTGCCGCCAATTTGTAATACTTGTATACTAATATTTTGTATTACTCAACATATGGATTTTTGAGAGATCTGACTTACAAACTGTAAGGCCTATCTGAATAATTAGGTCGGCAGTTAGAGGCATCCTAAACTAAGATGTTGCAATTTAATTTCTTTATTGATTTCAAGAAAATATATCGCTAAATATATTGCGCGAGATAAGCCGAATGTAAGTAATGAGTAAAGGATAAAATAGAAAACGCAATCTTTCTAACGTGAAAAGTTAAATGAAATTAACTGATGGCGCCCATTAGGCCACGCTATGTTGACGCCGTAAAACTTTTCTTCGGCTTTTCCGTAAATATATAAAATAAAATTATTTTCGTAAATTGTTATTGAGAATCTGTATAAGGGACTAGGCTTTACAGCTGTTTACTTTTGAAACTTTGGGACGTTGAAAGCCATTCTATTATTATGAGGGTGTTCCTAGGTAACGAGGTGGGGCTTTGCTGTATTTTTAAGCTACAACAGCGTTGTCGTTCGCTCGGTAAAGTATTTTAGGCCGAGCCCTCGGTCGCTACTGGTGAATGTTTGTCCTTGGCCAGGCCGACGTCGTTGTTAGGAGCGAGTCTACTGTGGTCGACTAGTCAACTCTGGCGCGTGACAGCCTCCGACAGACATCTATGTCCTTGAGGGTTCATCGCCCTTGAGTTTCTTTTTCACGACGTGTATACTCGAACTGATCATACTGAAATCAAATCAAATCATTTATTCATGGAAGTAAGAAATATAGATTTCATCTATCGATATTCGTTTTCTTTAATCTACCACCACTTCGTAATCAGGTTCCTCTAACGGAGAAGAAACGTGTGCAAGGAACTCTGTAGGTATCCTCTTTTTTATTATTTATTATCCAAACTATTAGCATGTTATACGGAATTTTTTTTTTATATAGAAACAGCTTGGGAGCGATCATTTCAATCCCCGGGGGTTATTATTATTAATGTATTAATTAACTGTGTACTTTTATATTAAAATGGTGACAACAAACAACTAAGTATAAACAATTTCAACAACTTTGTAAAAGCTAGTCTAATGGCAAGGGCCTACTATAATGTCCATGAATACATTGAGGACAAGGATGTATGGAAATGACTCCTGCTCTGCACTTGCCAGATCCCTGGTTGCTGCTGATTTTATCCTTAAATAAGTTTATATAATTGCAACACAAAAAATAATAATAATAATAAAAGAGAGAACAAGACCGCAGAGTTTCTTGTCCGGTCGTCTCGGTTCAGGTCTAGTTTAGTGAACCGGTGGTAGATTTTTTTTGACGTTCAATAAGAGCTTAAGTTAAGATGAGCCTATATTGAATGAAGATATTTTGACTTTGACAGTGCGACTCAAATTTCTTGCTCTCTTTGTTTGCTATGAAGGTCGACTGATTTTTCTGTCTAATGTCAGGCTGATGTGAGCACTAATGCCAGTTTACATGAATACGCTTCTAAATTGGTCAGCTCTAGAACATGTAGTGGTATATAGGGCAAGTACCTGGGTGTCTTGAGGAGCTGTTGGATCGTCAGTACAGTTTCCGCCGACCTATTCACACTTTTTACTTCTCGTTTCTTGTTCTACTTTCCAACGTGAAACTTATCCCTCAATTCTTATCTAGCGCGTTCCAAGCCAAGTGGCATATAAGTATATGGGGTTGATTTTAGATTTTCTTCTTATGCAGAATGTTCAGAACAAGTTAGATAGAACTAGAACAAGGTATTATGCATTTCAAGACTATCAAGGCTCCCGCCTTGTTGACAATTTGAATTCAATTCAGTATTATGCTGAGGCATTTCTCCACAAAGTGAGTTCTGTGAGAGATTACTTTAAAAACTTTAGAAATTTTAAACTTCTGAAGTCAACAAAGAAACATCTACTTAAAATGCAAACGTGGCAGGGATGAGTGCTGTCGTAAAGGATTTATATTTTTTTTAATTCTAAACATTTCACTTTTTACTTTTCACTTCATTTAATAAAGTTTATGTAGAGTTCTATATCGAACAAACATCACATCATCGTCACAAAAACAGCTTCTTGTATTTATGTTCATGCTATTGTTATTAACTGCGTCTTCATTTCTATATTTTAAATCCCCCCATTCTGTTTCTAAATAATTGGCTGAAAATACTGCACCAAATATTAATGAAAAGTCAATAAACACACAACCCTATCGAATTACCTCAGTGTGACAATGTTTATTGTCGGTTTCATAGATGTCGAAAAACTTTTTATATTCCATGATAAAAATCTAAAGGGAGTCAAATAACACCTCTTTATTTTGCATTCACCGTGTTTTTGTTAAATTCTAGTTCGAGATGGACGTACGAATCCGTATTGTATGTCATTATACTCGCAATTTAATAAGTTTTGCCTGTGGTGGCGGCGAGGTGAAGGGGTGTTAATACAAGGGGGCATGTTAAAGAAGATGCTTTGTGAGCGCAGGGGCGGCGCGTGTGACGATCACTTGCCCCACGTGCCGGTTGCAGTGCCAGCCCGCGAACATGATCGACCAGCGCTTCGTGCTTGAGAAGATCGCGGCCGAGCAGGCGGGCAACAACGGTGAGTGATACTCCAACCCATGTGAATGTGACTCGACATACTATTTCTATGCTTCATAAGTTTCATTTTGGTGGGCAACAGTCTTCTCTATTGCGCGAATGGACCTTGCAGAAGATCGGCGTGAAGTGGAATTGTTATACTTCCGCGTTTCGTCTGGTGAGTGATGGCAGCCGAGGCCCAGTTTACACCGGTATTCACCGCAAACAATGACGACCCGTTCGCTCGAATGGCAAACATCTGCGGCTTCTTAGACCGCATAAATAGACAAGAGCTCGCCGTATTGTCCAATAAATTATCGACCGCCTCATCTGGCCTCGAGCGTCTCAAAGCTATTTGCGACCATAAAATACCTGTAGACACTCTCTGGGTATTTACAAGCCAGCCGTAAACTTTATATTCCGCGCAATAAAACCGCGCTCCCCCGCGTCGTTAATTAGAAACTATAAAAAAACTTTTATGGAAAGTACAACCGCAGGTAGATTAAAACCTCGGGGTCTGGTTGTTTCGTCTTTCAACGGAAATGGCATTAAGGGTCAAAGGGACGAAATCGCAGAATTCCTCCGCGATTATAATAAAGATATATTTCTAGTGCAAGAGACCTTCTTAAAACCTAGCGTAGTACGCAATCCCAGAATCGCAAACTATAACATAGTCCGCCACGACCGGTTAGCAAACCGTCTGGAGGACACTCTAATTTATTATAAGCTAGAGCTACGCCATATAGAGGCATTCGCGTGCAGGTTAGCTCTCACCGGCCATAGGCCACTTGTACTAGTCTCAGCCTACCTCTCGGGGAACAAATCCTTTTTACAAACCGATCGAGAAACGCTACTCAATTTAGGCCCTTCCGTGATTATTGCAGGCGATCTAAACTGCAAACAAGGCTCATGAGACATTCACAGTATACCAAATAATAACGGTAAGCAACTCTTTAGCTTAACCGATAACTTAAGCATAATCCTAACCCCACTAACCTGGACACCAAACGCGAACCTAACCTAGATATTATGTTATTCAAGGAGGTCTCGCTCGACATCGAGTCGATAGAGACAATCCATGAACTAGATTCGATCCAGAACGCCGGCGCGGTCCCTCCGAATAAATCCGTAGTGGACTGGCATCGTCGTCTTGAGATCAAACTCAAGGCCTTGGACCCCCGGGACATAGTCAACCTACCCGAGACGATAGCTACGTTCGATGACGCAAACCGAGCTATAGCAAGTCTCCGACGGTTCAACTTTCCGCCCGACCTGCGACTGCTTATTAGACAAAAAAATGCAACCAAAAGTGCTTTCGAAAGATACCGATCAGAATCGAACCGAGCCCTACTTCGACGCCTTCAGCTAGAAGTTAAAGATCGCGTATCGGAACACCGACATACAGCGTGGGACACTCCCCTAGAGGACATCGAGCCACCGCACACCGCCTACTGGCGGTTGGCCCGTAGTCTGAAAGCAGATCCCCGCGAATCTCTACCGTCGTTAGTTATACCTAATGCGTATCGGACAACCCAGAGCAGCAATGGGCGTACATTGCTGCTCTGGGTTGTCCGATCGCGCGAACACACCGATATAGTCCAACTAACGGAGGTGGACCGCGTAATCGAAACTAGGGCTGCGCTTCCACGGGAAGGCGATACTTTAAATTCAGTGACCCCCGAAGAAGTCCAAGACATTATTAAAAAATTAAAACTCAAATCCGCCCCGGCCACACATCTGCTACACCCGAGGGTTCCAGATGCGTTGACAACCTTTTGAAAATTGGGCTCCGGCCACCTCACTCACCAGACGAAACGCGAAAGTGTTATACTTCCACTTTACGCCGGTCTTCTGTGAGGTCGTGGTACTTACTCGGACGGGCCTGCCCATTCGTGCAACAGCCGAGGCTGCTGCGTGGCCCTACCACCGTAAAACCTGTCACATCTTTATAAAGGCCCTCGCCAATGCAGAAAGTTGGGGCAAATATATCCCTTTATGGCCAACCGCTCCCCTGGGAGAAAAAGGTCGAACACTTAGGAGTCACTTTCGACTCGCGTATGTCATTTACTACGCACATTAATAACGTTCGTAATAGAGCCGCGTTCGTCTCCGGCCGGCTACACAATTTAACTAACGCTAAAAGTAAAATGCCCTTGAGGCACAAATTATTATTATATAAGACCTGCGTATGACCTATTATGTCCTACGCATGCATGATCTTCGCCCACATGCATCCTACTCGCTTGTACAAGTTGCAAATAGTACAAAATAAGTTCAACCGCCGCCGCAACCGGTGCGCGGCGGTTGCGCGGCAGTGGTATTAACGCAACGTCGACCTGCACAGCGATTGCAGACTCCCGATGATTTGCGAATATTTTAAAGACCTGATCAAATGGTTCTTTGATAGAGCCGAACATCCTCCCAACCCTCTTGTGGTAAGCGCAGCAAATCACCAACCCGATCCAAACGCGAGCGTCAAAAGCGTTGCCCGCGAAACGTCCTCAACGACCCGGTCGAGGAAGGGAACTTAGATAAGTCGGACCCACCCTCGGGGTCCCGCCGGATATCACTACACCCACAGTTAGTGCTACAACAAACACAATAGTTCGCCCTCGCCTCCGAGCACGGCGAGACCAACACAACGCGTACACAAGGTACACCCGCGTTCCGGGGCGGTTCTCACCGCCCCCAGCCACCGATTAGCTAATTGCACAGTCGACGGCCATCGGGGTTTCGGTCCGAACCGCGATCTCGATGGCCCTTAGATGACACACCATAGTTAAACGCACGCATGAGCACATGCGTGGCCCTACCCACAGCGGAGAGGGCCCAAACCCGTGGTTTCTGGCTAGCCCACCGGTTCTGCGTCAGATGAAGCTTTAATAGTCTCGGGATTGAAAGCAAAAACATCAGTTAATACAAGATACAAGGCCCAGTTTATAAAAAGGTGGCTCTGACATTTACAATCCTAGGGGTATTGCAAATGTCAGTGCGCGGCGTTCATCACTTAATATATACAAATACATAAAAAAAGTATTTTTATGATGAAGCATAGGCTTTCGAGTGTGAAACGTCTCTCGATGGGAAGGATTAACGTTGACCAATGAAGATTGCAACGTTTTTGTAAACTACATCCCTCAACTAAATACCAACTTGGCATAGCAGTTTTTATACTTAATTGTTTCTTAGTTGATTGAAGTAACTCGAAGCAAATCATTTTAAATGTTTCTGACCTCGAAGAGAAAGACATGTTTGTATGAGTGCTACAATAAGTTTAGTGAGATGTGGGCTGGTGGTGGCGTTAGGCGTTGATCGATTGTGTGCGGTCAGGGGTGGTGGGCGAGCAGCAGTGCAACAGCTGCGACGACACCGAGCCGGCGACCAGCTACTGCGTGGACTGCGCAGAGTTCATTTGCGACAACTGCGTCAGCGCCCATCAGAGGTACGCGCGATGCTTGTTTCTTTTATTTTTAAACTAGCTGTCATCCGCGGCTTCACCCGCGCGCCCAAAGGGAATTACAATGGGTTTTTATTATACACCGGAATATCTCGCAGATGGCTGAATTTTTTCCTACTAAGTTAATACTTTGTTAGTTATTACCTATATTTTGGACAATTCACTTATTTGTTATAAATTATAGCCTATGTGTTATTCTGATGTATAAGCTATATAATTGTAAAGTTTCATTAAAATCAATTGAGTACTTTTTGTGTGAGAGAGTGACAAATATCACCATCCATACATAGAAACTTTCGCTTTTATAATATTATAAGTAAGATAAAGCTTTCAATGAGACTAACTGACTCATTCACTGCTGTGTAAATGAGGCGTCGAGGGCACGTCGAGTGAGGTGTCGCGCTGAGGCTGACGCGCGTGTGTTGTCGCAGGCTGAAGATCACGAAGGAGCACACGATCAAGTCGAAGGAGGAGGCGGTGGCGGAGTTGCAGGCGGCGCAGGGCGGGGCGCGCTCCGCCCACGACATGTTCTGCCGGGACCACCCGCAGGTGAGCGATTACCGGCCGAGCCCGTGGGGGCATGGGGCTGCTGAGCTGACGGGCCGTTGCTCGCGTGCGCAGGAGCGGCTGAGCCTCTTCTGCGAGACGTGCGACCGGCTCACGTGCCGCGACTGCCAGCTGCAGCACCACCGCGACCACAAGTACCAGTTCAGCACCGAGATGGCCGCACAGGTGACACCGAATGCTTAGCTCAAATTATTGTTTGTCCGGTATTTAAATTAAACATTAACCGAAAGCATTTACTTTACTTCGCTATTTTTCGTTTATAGTCATTTTCAATAGATGGCGTTATCGTACATTCTTTATAAGAAGTTTTTAACTTCAAAAAACGGAGGTTCTCAGTTCTATTATATTTTAATTTTTTTTAGAGATATTTTTAATTCAGTAGTCGCAATGAAAAGCTTTAAAATGATGTTTGAAACATCAAATTAAATACAGAATTATGGAAGTTATGGCGTATCGACAAAAAACTCTTTTGATGAATAGGGTATAAAGATGTTAAAAAGTTTTAATATTATTGAAATTGATTTCAATTTGAAGTGTGCGAAACGTCGGGTTTTAAAAACTAGAATTAAGCGAAGCGAAAAAATCTGGAATTAATTTTCGTTAACAATCATTAGAAATCATTGTTTAATATGAAAGTATTGGAAAGTAAATGTTGAAGCAGGCGCGCGCCAACATCTCCGCGCTGCTGTCGGAGGTGAGCTACAAGCGGGTGCTGCTGGGCTCCGCCATGAAGGTGATCCGCGACCGGCAACACCTCATCGCCGAGAAGAAGAAGGCGCTCGTGCACGAGATCACGCAGACGGTGGTCAAGTGGGTGCCGTGCTGCTCTTCGTTCCCTCGCCGTCACTCTGCGGACGCAATGAACGCGCCATGTTCGTCGGCAGGCTGACGAACGCGATCAACACGCGCGGCAAGCAGCTGGTGCTGCGGCTGAACGAGGTGTGCGACGCGAAGCAGCGCACGCTCAGCGAGAAGAAGGTGGCGCTCGAGCAGCTCGCCGCCATCACCGACCACTGCGTGAGCTTCGTGAACGGCGCGCTGCAGCAGGTGGCCTATTATTAATATTGGAGCGTTGGAGCGGCGGAGTGAGGGGGCGGCGGGCACTGACGGCCTTGGCTCGCGAGTTGCAGGGCAGCGACACGGCCGTGCTGTACAGCAAGCGCGCGGTGTGCGCGCACCTGCAGCGCATCAAGAGCCGCCGCGCCGACATCCCCAACCCCGAGATCCCCGTGCGCATCAGCCTCGCGCTCGACAAGCTGCCCGACCTCGTCCGGGGTGAGCGCGCTGCTCCGATTGTACATTATTATACACGCACACCTCGAAAATAGGAACAACACTCATATACCTTTTAATCCAACCGTCTGCTTACAATGCCCAAAAACGTCCAGCCGATGTACTCTATAAAAGACAAAACGCGGTTGCAGTGCTGTCGACGATCGGCGCCATCGTGGTGGACGGCAAAGTGGACGGCGGGGCGCAGGGCCCGTACCATCCGCCGTCCGGCACGCCGCCCGCCGCCTCGCAGCCGCAGCCGCAGCCGCCGCCGCAGCACGCGCCGCTCCAGCTGGCGCACCCGCCGCAGCACGCCACGCCGCCGCAGTCGGCCGTGGTGGCGCTGCAGCAGGTCGCCATGCACCAGGTCACTACACCATTTTATTAATACTTCCATCACATAGTATGTAATACTTGTTATATATCGTACAAACTTTTCCATCTTTCGCTGTAACTGGCTTTTATTCTATATTATTTCGATTTCTTCAACAATGTCCGTTTATTTTGTTTTTATTCAAAGTGACGTTTAGGTAATTCGTTTATTATTTTACCCGTTCATCGCATCTCAAAACTTTTTCTCTTACTTTCTAAACATGCTTTGACATTTTGTTAGTAATCAAATTCGCTTAATGTAAAATGTCATCTTGCTGTCTCGAGTTATTGACCGTATTCTAATAAAGATTGTACATTTTCTGTGACATTTAGCCTATGTAATAATTTTTAAACTTTTACATGTCTCAGACATTGGCACGATATCAGGTCAGTGTGCTCCTGCCTGTTGTGAAATTAACTAAGAAAAATTAATGTTTCATATGAGTAATTTGATTATTAGTATTTTAATAGTTCTTTATTATTTTCCGAAATGTCATGTATAAATCTAATTTGTTTGTGATTAAAAATGGCATATTATGTTTATTAATTTACATTTATTAGTTTACAAGTAACCCTGAAGCCAATGAGACTGTAGGAAAGCCACGCAATCTTCATACTTCTTTTAAACGACCCGCAACAGCATGAATTAGGTATTAGTGTAAAAGTATTTGTGACTTTTCATTTCGTCAGCTCGGCGCCGGAGCCGTTTCTGCTCTGCATTCTATTCTCCCGTGTCGAGAGTAGTGTAGAAGTAAATTGGAATGCGCTTGCAGTCGTACGTGCAATCGGTGGGCGGCGTGGGCGGCGTGGGCGGCGTGGGCAGCGTGGGCGCGGCGGGCGCGCTGGTGCCGCTGGGGCGGGGCCGCTCGCACACGCCGCTGCGCCACCCGCACGTCACCTCCACCACGCACCCGCACCACCTGCACGGTAACCCGTCCGCTCGGACGCCGCTCCCGTCGCGACGGCCCCTGCGACTGACCCTCGGTTCTCGTGGCGCAGGCATGAGCGAGATGAACCTGCGCGGGCTGCTGAACGCGGGCGGGCAGCGCCGGAGCCACGCGCTGCCGCAGGCGCAGGCCCAGGCCCAGGCCCAGGCCCAGGCGCAGGCGCAGGCGCACGCCATACACGCCTACCAGCATAGTGAGTGCGCACGGTCTGTGCCGACGCCGACACACCTCTAGCACACGCGACTCGCTACACACTGTTCAAACACCCACCAATATCTCACCACAACGAAACCGTATGTGTACTTATTGGAGATTACGATCGAAATCGAAAATGTTGTCTACACGTTCACCACAAAGGATTATTAGGTACTTTTGTCGTCATACATTAATTACAAGTATTGGAGTGATTTGACATACAATGATCAACTAATCAATATGTATTAATAACGCACATTGCAGTGCTGGGCGCGTACGGGTACGGCGGCGGCGGCGTGGGCGGCATGGGCGGCGGAGGGGCGGCGGGTGGCGGGGTGGGCGGCGGCGGCAGCGGGCGGCGCAGCGGCGGCCCGCGCACGCCCTCGCCCGCGCCGCACCTCACGCCGCAGCCCGCCAAGTGGCACATCCCGCAGCACCAGCTGGCCAACGGCGGCGCGGCCGAGGGCGCAGGCGGCGGTGGGCCGGGGGCGGGGGCGGGTGCGGGCGGGGCGGCGGGGGCGGGGGCGGGCGGCGCCGAGTTCAAGATCACGCTGAGCCGGCAGCCCGGCACGCCGCGCGCGCCCCCGATCGTCACCTCCACCAACCCCAAGACGCCCAGCCCCAGCCTCAACGTCTGTACCTGCTACCTACCTAAAGTTGCACGTTCATTCCTCTCGCACAAATTACTTTGCACAGAATCTGGGGATTTTATTATACCACAGAGTAATTTTCATATACAAAGAACAAGATATGGTGTTTCTGAGTAACTATGATACAGGGTTTACACATACATCGTATATCGTAATTAAACTAGTTCACTAGTTTATAACTTTTTAATTTGTTTTTAATACACATCAAAATACTTTTCCAATCAATACACCATTTTTTTATAAATAATATAGGGTACTGTCAAGTCTCAACATCTCAACAATTTCAAGAATATTGAAACATTATAAAATCTATGAAATATTTTTGTTATTATAAACTTTATAGACTTAATATTTTTGATAGAACATATATTGTTACTATCAACAAACCATATATTCTTTTCATACTCTTTTGTAAGTAAAGACCCATAAAAGACTGACACCAAAGTACAATATTACACTTTGTTTCACGAGTTTACAAAGTCACATAAAATAATTCATTTGCTGCAAACTCATGTCAATATGCGAAGCAGAATTTACTTGATTAGTGAACACTTGTAATGTATGTCGGCAGGGTGGAGCGTCTGAGCTGGACAAGGTGTGCGCGGAGTCGGTGCAGGACCTGATGGCCACCATCGCCAAGCTGGACTCGAACGGCGTGCAGGTGGTGGCGGAGGGCGCCTCGCCCTCGCCCTCGCCCGCCCAGCACGTGCACTCCTCCACCGACGCAGAGATGCACGCCCACTCGGGTAAAACAAAACCACAATCATACAGATTCAGTGCCAATATGACTCCATCTCTAAATCACGGATTCAAATGATATTTTTATATTTCCGTTATTGTCTCACATATGAATTCTTGCACATGTCTCACTTTGTCTCCACTTAGGCTCAAGCGAATTTACAAATGACATAAAAACTTGTTTTTACTCTCTTCAAAGCTATTTGACAATCCCCAGGCAAACAGCTGGTCGGCTCGGGCACCGGCAGCGGCGACCCCAACGAGGACTGGTGCGCCGTGTGCATGGACGGCGGCGAGCTCATGTGCTGCGACAAGTGTCCCAAAGTCTTCCACCAGTACTGCCACATACCCACCATCGAGAAGCTGCCCGAGTTGGTTTCCAATTCTTTGTAACATTACAATTTGACAATTGATGTTCTTAATATACTCATCGCTCGGGAGCCTAGCGCTCTTTGCTGTTGCACGATTGAAGTAACACAACCTCACCGAAGACCGGCGTGAAGCGGAATTGCTATACTCGTAAATGTCCATGGGCATGTCCGCCAGGTCGTTTACCACTTATTTTACACCAAGGGGTAACTAATGAACAATGTGGGTTGGCAGCGAGACGGAGACGTGGCAGTGCCTGCTGTGCGTGAACTTCGCCGAGCTGGGCGGCGAGGGCGAGGCGGAGGCGTGCGCGGCGGGGGCGGGCGCGCTCAGCCCGCGCCAGCGCCGCATCGTCGAGCGCATCACGCTCGAGCTCTACTGCCAGTACGAGCTCAGCCTGCCCTTCCGCGAGCCCGTCGCGCCGACCAACGACCACTACCACTCCAAGGCGAGTGTTTCTCTCCGCGGGGCCGCGGCCGCTATGGGGACAGGGTGCGGGTGTTGAACGAGAAGCCTGTGTGATTCAGATAACGCGGCCGATGTGCCTGGACATGGTGCGGCTGAAGCTGCAGCCGCGCAGTGAGCCGCGCTACACGCACGTCGCGCAGTTCGTCGCCGACTGCCGTCTGCTCTTCCGCAACGCCTACCATTACAACCCGGTAACCACTTCGCGTCACTGTCACGGTCATCCAATAGGATTGTTCGGAGAGATATCGGAGCCTAAGTTCACACGACGCTTTGATCATTTACAGCCCGACTCGCAACTGTATAAAGATGCGAAGAAGCTGGAGGAGTTCTTCGACGCGCAACTGCTGAAGTGGCTGCCCGAGTACGCGTACTGGAGCGGCGAAGGCGAGCCGCCCGCCAAACGCGCGCGCCTTGACTGACGCCACGCCCCCCTCGCCCCGCCCCCGCCCCCCGCCTCGGCCGCGCCCTTCACACACCACGCCCCCCTCGCGCCGCCCCCGCCCCCCGCTTCGCCCGCGCCTTTCGCGCACCACGCCCCCCTTGCCCCCTTCACCCCATTCGCCCCCTTTTCCCCCTTCGCGCCGCTCGCCGCCCCCTCGCCGTTCGGCGGCTTCAGCACGCACATGCCGCCCCCCTCGCGCCCCGCCCCCCAGCCCGCATCCCTCTACCTGCCGCACTAGCGCGGTCTTTGATGCATCCGGCGCATGGTGAAGCATGACTGTATCTGGCCTAATATATCTCGAGTTCTTTTCTTAGGAAGTATTTTATATGCGCAACATACAAATAATATCGTTTTCATTATAACAAGCGAGAAATCTCAATGAGTAAGATGGTTTAGTGTGTCTCAGTAGACTGTTTAAATGATACAAACAAGTGTAAACATATGTGATGTGTAATGGTAGTATAACTATGGTACGCGGTCGGACCGCCACTTCCTCTCGTTGATCACAGTTGCATGTCAAGAGTTTAATCTATAGCTGTTCGTAGGTTAAATATAGAATTAAGAAAATATATTGAACTGTTTAATTTTTAACAAGCAATTTGTCCTTGTCAACATTAATTCCATATCCGATTGTCATCATACATTAATTTGTTTTTGAATTTAGCTATGATTGACTGTGATATATTGTGTATTTGAGTTGCTACCAATCAGTACAGAGTGCTGCTGTCACTCCATAGTCTTATTTAGAGTTCTCACTCAGCATATTATTTATTGTATATGTTGACTTAAATATGTTTGTTTACATTAGGATACATAAACAATTAATATAATGCACAAAAGTATAATTTACTATATTGTTAAAATATTTTTTCTATGGTTATCGATTTTTAAGGTACCTAGTTTTCTTATAATTGAAAACTAAATATTCCTCCTCAGGAATGTGTATTTAGGGGTATATGGTGGAATTGTTAATTTCTCATGTAATTTAGATATACAAGTAGGTATAAAATAAGTAAGAGCAGCTAGTGGTAGTGCGGCTGCACAACCTGAAGAGAATGAAATTCCATATGAATGGTTTCACTTATAGACTTATTAATTAACTGCCAATGATTATTTCCCTTCCGAACTATTGTTACACTTATATTTTAGAAAAATTCATATTTGAAAATAGAGATAGTGAAAAGAAGATAAATTTATGGGAAAAAATAATCACAATTTTGCCAAATGTGTTTAAGACAAGGACTCTGTGTATTGTATGGAAAATGATAGTGGCAGTACCCAAATTTTCTGTATATAATTTTAAATATATCATAAAGGTGAAGAATGTAAAGAAGTTGGATTGGTGTTATGAATGTTTTAGATAACTGAAGTTGTTGTCTTAATGTTTGTATTTTTGATGAAGACAAGAGAAGTTGTTTTGGATGATTCAATGTTGGTGATTATTACTTAAAGGTGGTGATGAAACGAACTATTAGAAGGCTCTACATACATAAGACAAACTCCTAATGAGTATTAATAAACTACAAATAAATATCATTTACTGGATGCTTTTGTTTTATATTGATTATAAAAACTACAATGTTCTCTTAAGTCGACCCGTTTCATCCTTCCAATTGTGATTTATTTACTCTCTTTAGTATGAAGAAATAATTAAAGTAATATCCCAACGATCGCTAGCGAATTTATGGAACTACTTGATAATAATTTGAATCTGTATTAATATAAAATAAAATAATATTAAAAAAAAAACTATTTATATGTTACGACTTCGCTCTCGTAATACGGACATCATAAAAAATGTTTTTGCATTTGGAAAATAAGTCTTGTGGAAATGGAACCTGTGGTACTGGGAGCAGCTAAAAGGTTAAATCTGTTAGACATAATCAAACTATAAAGTATTTGTGGTTTAGTATAATACAAATACTCATCCCGTGTGGGAATCAAACCCAAAGTCAATGGTTTACCAACTGCAATACTTCCAAACCCGTAGGTTCTGGCTAGCCACCGGTTCTGCGTCAGATGAAGCTTTAATAGTCTCGGGACTGAAAGCAAAAAATCAGTTAATACAAGATACTGCAATACTGAGTCGTCTATCAAAGGTGTCATATATCGGAAATATACGGTATTTTGAAAAGAATGCTGGTTATCTCACGATTGTCCGTCCCAGTCAGCGTGTGATTTCGGCACTTAAAATTGCCATTAACAATTTTATTGGTGCGTGCCCCGGCATTTCAACTCGAGTTTTTCGCTTATTTTTTTACCTATTTTTTAATAGGCCTTCCTTCTACTTTATACATTTTTAGTGTTTAATTCAATTTAATAGGCCGTTCTTTATATAAAAAAGTTTAAACAAATATTTTCTTGATATTCTTACTATTTTATAGTTTTAGTAGGTATGATACATTGTATTTTTTTTATTCTTTCGATACGATTGATATCAATCAAACTACACGTTTTTGTTTGTTTTACTTGTTATGACAGTTAAGGTACTTTATAACCTTCAATTTATCTAAATAAATAATTAATGATCATTATGTTAACACAATCCAACAGTTTGGTTTAGATTTTTAAAAACAATCACACACAATTTCTTATTAGAAATACTTCATGGCAAAACAGCAAAACATATTTTATATCTTGTAACCCTTGGTCATACGTCACATGTGTTTCGCATTCACAAATCGCGTAAAGTGACATTCGCCTCTGGGGACCAATCACGATTGGGTAAAGTTATCCATGTCGGCACTGGATTGGCTTTCCATTTATTCGTCCCTACGTAATCTACGACTCTACATACAAATGTGACAGAGGGCAGCTTTCGCTAATACAAGTACAGTGCTTATCATTTTCACTCTTATCACGAAGCTCAGACGTAGAGCTATCTGAAGGGGACAGGCGCGTTAGCTCTACAAATCAAAGCATCGTCAAAGAGGAGTTAGCTTGGCGTTAATTATTGAAGCAGCTTTTGCGGCACCGTTATTTCGCTAAATTAAGGTGAGTGACCTCCAAAAGAGGTTATTCACTTTTAAATGATACTTTTTATTTAAATGCTATGTGTATTAAAATATAAAAACATAATTGTATGTAAACATTTTTTATATTTGTAATGATATTTTAATATATTGATATATAGAATACTATGTGCAAATATATTTTTTGCGATAACTTATAAGTACTTTATTTTTGTCGTTGTTTAACTAGTTTTTATTTAAATAAAAAAGTAACGAATACAATAAACTAATGAAAAAAATAGAGCAGTAAAAATAAATAATCGGTTTCTTGTTATAAATCTTTTACACTGACAGTGAAAAGAATTATGGACACGTTAGGTATCAAACTAACCCTAAGTTTTCTGTTAAGTTGTTAACCTCAGTTTGAATCCTAACTCATAATCAATTAGTTTTCATCATTATTTTTCGAAACGAATTATAGTGTAAAGCCCAACAAGGGCACAAGGGCATGCAGTATTGGTCTTAATTGTTCCCGAAAAAGCTTTGGTATATTTTTAAAGGTGAGGGGAACACAGGCATAAAAATGTACCGTTAACGCAGCACACACAAAATATCGCGCAAGCAAAATAGTTTCACCTAAGTAAGAAAAGATAATCTGAGGCACTTTACAAAACCTGTTATTATTAAACTACTATGTGGATATGAAGAATCCGCCAACGCGCTCTAATACAAATTTAATAATTATGAACAGAAAACATCGACTTCAAACAGGAAACTAAAAACATTGTCAACAACTATAACATTTGAGGATTGCCCGCGATTTCTCAGGGATTCCATCATCAGATCCAGGTTTCCTTATCATGGTAACACTCTTCGGATATCTCCTTAGTCGTCCGTAGTAAGTTAGTCGCGAACACACATAAAAAAAAATATATACGGTGGAATTGAGAAACCTTCTATTTTGAAGTCGGTTAAAAATGATAATGTTTTTTATAAATAGATACCTTTAGAGTTTAATATATTCCTCAATTTTTTTCTACGAATTATTTTTTATATTTCATTGGGCAAGATTTGTTATTTATGTGATTTAAAAACTTGTAACTATTATAAGATAAACTCGCAAACATAAATTGAACATTATAATGAGCGTGCCGACCCCGCGTCTCTAGAGCTCGATATTATTCGCATATAGGGCGACGACTCTTTATCTAGAGCCTCGATGCGATCATTTAATATCGCAGAGGTGAAGAAAACGTCAAGAGCCGTTTGCGTAAACATTGCTCTTACATTAAACTATTAATTGACATAGATAATATTTGTTTTTTCGTATTGAAAGATTTGAAACCCTATGTTTGATCAGAGAATTTTGGGGCACAAAAAGTACAAACCTTAGTTCGTTCTTTTACATGCATGTATTACATGCAGGGTATTTTTGACTAATTATACTGTTTTCAATGACCTTTTGCAAAAAGATCTTAGTTCCAGTGCGTACATTACTTCAAGAATTGAGTGATAATATCGCCTTAAAATAAAACATTATTAGTTATTTCGTCTGTTAGTGTTAGCAAGCAAAAGAAGTGCGTATATTTAATTAGATGTATAGATAATCTGAGTAACTTTAAAACTTGTTATACTCCTTTATTATCATAGAATAAATTTAAAATCCACCCGATTACTGGAAACATTTTGCATAAAAAGTAAACATTACCGATGCTCCACCTCGGAGTTGGGTAGCGGGATTAAAATCATTGTGAAAGATATATCGGAATGCAAACGAGAATTATTGCCCATGATAATGTACTAAATTAGGCGCTTTGAAATAGTTCTACCGAAACTAGGCGTTGTTCCATATCTAATTTATACATAGAATATGCGTCACGGAATGTTCTCTCCTACAGTACCTACATAGGCAATATCGGAAGATTGAGCCTTGATATCTCAGTGTCCAGGCGGTAGATTTTAATTTAATATATTTGAGTTCAAATCGAAGTGCCGGTACCAATAATATTGTTAATGATAAATA